GACTCAAGAGAAGAAAGCCATGCAGCAGCGATGGCAATATTCCAAGAAGGAAGGAGGCTTACCAGGGAGAGGAGACACCGAGAGGTAGTTCAAAGGAAGGCGAAGAGCACTGCAATTCAGTCCATGCTGGTGGACGCCCGAAGAAAAGCGCGGGACGGCTGTGTGATCTGAGGAGCAGCCCCAGCCCCCACTCCATCCCAGACCCGGACTTAGTCAAAGGAAGCCCAGATGTATTACTGAATGAAGAGGAGACTATAAAAGGAGACAAAGTAAAAAGCCAGTGGTTTTTGGAGGTTGGGGTAAAGTGGGGAGCTAACCAATGAGGACAAGAAAGACAATGTTCTAAAATGGATCACGGGACTGGTGTACAGCTCTTCTTGACAGGGCTAAACTCTGGAGCTGCATACTATGTAGGGTATGTGCCAGTAAGACTGTTTAGAAAATAAAAATATAGACAAACAGAATTTTAAAAATCGCATGTCAGTAAGTGCAGTCAGGAGAAACAAACGACAAAGAATAAGAACGTCAATGATAAAAACAGACCTGTTTCCCACTGAAAGCAGAGCTCAGACACTACGGCTTATAAGCATGTATCACACTTATAACTTTTTGTTACACAATCATAAACCAAGCAAACATGTTTTAAATAAGAGTGAGTCCTCAAAACAAATACCCAAGTGAATATTTTGGACGAACACAGGATCTATATAAATAGCCAACGCTGGCAATGTGACAATTTGCTTTTGGCTTGTTACCATACCTAAGCTGAACTGAAGATAACACTACTTGCGGGCATGCCAAACACCTACGTCTCCCTCCCTATCTCCTTATCCAACATTTCACCTTTATGACAACAGTAGGGAATTGACCATCTGACTCTTGCACGTGGACACGGCGGTCAGCAATGTCAGTGTGCGTGGTGGGAGTAACACTGCCTGCAATGGCTGGACCAGGCGGTAAGTCTCCGTGCTTTGGCTCTTGGGTAATAATGTAGCACCCTCAGTTGGGCGATCTGATGTGATTGTCCACCTTTTTCTAATAACACCAATTTCCACATCATGACCGGCCCTTGGAACCTGACCTGTGGATAAGCGGGGAGTGGGCGGACAGCTAACCTGGTTTGGTTGTACTTTAACAACACTCACAGAGGAAGAAACAGTGTCACAGACTACGAGGATAGACGTGGAAGCTCAGAGAGGCTGAAATATCTGTCTAAAACTTGTATCCAAAAAGGAGCCAACAGCGCTGCTTCGTCCATGCGTGCAACAGCCAGGTCCATTCGTTATCCTCGCCTCCCTTCCCGAGGGCAGCAGTGACCCAGCACTGCCCAGTGGGTGTTTGAACCCACAGACTTCAGTCGACAAGCTCTGGGCTCCAGGGAGAGAAAGTCCCTCCTCGTCTTCGTGACCACCTCCATGTAGCCAGTTTCTGGGTTTCATGCAGTTCTTGCCTGGGCAATTGTCTCTGGGTGGGCCTTCCCTGGTTAGACGGCACTCAGAAAGCATTAAGGCCACCTTCTCCCAGTAGGACCCAGTTATCCGAAAAACAGAACTGGTAAAACAGTACCCAATTTCTAAACAAGGTCCCAATCACAGATATAGGAGATAGAATTTCCACTAACCAATCTATAACAATCATGGATAGCCATAATGAAATATAAATCACACTTAAATAATAGGAACATGTCCAAATCTATGAATTTCTCAAAAAGAATCTGCTTTTAGTGCAAAACATTTTATCAAATTCACAGAGCTAGGTGGTAGTTCTTTAAATATGTGTGGTGTACATCTTCACTGACGATATGGGTATTTCATTGATAATAACGAAATTATGAAGTATATCCTAGGAACTGAGTCCTTCCAAGATTTTAACTTTCCTTATATCCTTGGATCATATCTGCCACGGAAAAACATGCCCTAGACCTCCGTCTGTGGAAGTGATAAGTCAATTAAAAAATTCTGAGATGTCAAAAAGACCAGTCTAGCTCATCTTTGAAGTGCTGGGCCAACTGGCTTGTCATCCTGCCATCAGACTAAGCGCTCACTTTGTAGTCCTCATATCAAACAGAGCTCTCTGCTCCAACAACCGCAATAACGTATGACCCACATCCACACGGTCACGAGGAAAATCACATGCAGGCTCACTGCTGACTGCAAGCCAACACTGTCTTCAGAAGCAGGCTCACTTGACAGGCAAACGGTGCACTGATGTTCAAATACAAGCTCCACGATCTGAGTGAGCTGACCTCAATGCAGAGCCAACAACACGCGTCTGCCGACAACACAGCCTTGCACAGGCTACCCAGTCAGAGCTGGTGTGTGTGTCAGTGAAGTGGTTCTGACAAAAGCTGTGCTCCTTCCCTGTGCCGTACCGTCCAGCAGCTGCCTGTGCCTGGAGCAGTGGCAGAGCGCTCACCCAGTGTCAGGAGAATCTTCCCTCCTGTCCCACCCCATAGGCCTCGCCGGCCAGTTGCAGTGTCATGGAGCCTACTCACCGCCCTCATCTCACGCCTCTTTCCACGGCGCCACCGACAGTAACTCATATCAAACAATTCTAGAACTCGTATTAAAGAGAGTTGTGTAATCACCACCACAATCAATTTTAGAACTTGTTTTTTGTCCATGTACTCATAGTTAGTAGCTCCCCATCTCCCCCAGCCTTCCAGCCGAGCCCCCAAGAAACACTTAATCCAGTTACTGGCTTTATCGAGTTCCATACTGTATTTCATATACAGAAAAACATAGCAAACAAATAAACAAACAACCATAACAAAATAAAACTGAGAACCTCAATCAGAAAAGGGGCAGAAAATATTAAAAACTAAATTAAAATGGGTTAAAAGGAAGATTAAGTGCTAAGATGTTCAATTTTAACCTGACCACATCTGTAGTAATCCACTTTCCAATGTGCTGTGTCTGATAGCAAGGCTAGACTTTTGAGCTTGGCAGCTGGAGGAGTTACCTGCTAAGAGGCCACACAGCGACACGGTCTATAGACAAAACACTGGACCCCGCATTCCTACTACAGATCCAAGTTGCCATCCAGTTTTGTTCTCCCACTGCCTAAAGAACTCTTTTGAGTATTTCTCAAAGTGTAAGTCTCCCCAAAATAGAACTGGTTAGATTTTGTCTCCAATAGGCCTATTTTTATCTCAGATTTTTCTATTGGATATTTCTATTGTTTTCCGATACTTTTGTCTCAGATATTCTTATTGGGTAAACAAGTTTTGGTGAAGCGTCCTTTTATGCTCTTTGTCTTCCCCAGGGCCTGGTTTCTGCTGAGCAGTCTACAGACATTCCAGCCTTTGTTCTCAGTGGTCAGGAAAGCTTCCCCGCCTTCTAGGGAGACTTTGAAGGCCCCTGTGCATCTCGGGCTGTCAGCAGCTTGTTCAGGGTGTATCTTGTTGTGGTTTTCTTCCCGCATCCCTGCTGCTGGCGGCTGTTCAAATGCTAGCCTCCGTGGGCTCCTTTGTCATCAACTCTGAGAACGATGGCGGCTGTTTCTGCAGGTGTTTCCCTCTGCCAGCCCTGGGGCTGCCACTCCCAAACCTTGCAGAGGGCTAGAGGTTGCCCAAGAGCCACTGCATTCCTTTCTTGTTCTGCATAAGCCAACTCCAGCAAGTCGCTGGTTTAGAGGGAACTCAGAGACTGGCTGCCAGCTCTCCAGCCTCGAAGTCCAGCTCCGACTAGTCAAGTTATCTGCCGAGACTGGAAAACAAGTTCTTCCAAGATGGTTCCACTACTGCTCGGACTCAACACCTGGTGGCTGCAGGACTGCCTGGGCCACACTTCACTCATGTGAAGAACCATGCTTGGGGGACACCCGCATAACGCCCCCACCCACCAAGCCCTCTGGCTCCAGTTCTACAGGCAGCTGGGGGAAACCCTCTGCTGTGAGCAGCTCCCATGGGTAGGTAGGTCAGACGCTGGCGGCTACGACTACTTCCTCCCAGCAGGTATGCTGCCCTGCCCAGCCCCGTCCAAGGAGTCCAATCTATCCTGTCCAGTGTGCCAGGAGCTGTGGCAGCCCAGACAGGGGACCCTTGAAGCTGCCCTCCATCCTCCTCTCTGTGGGCTAATCCCACCACACACAATGCCATTTCAGCCCTGGTCCTTTCAGCTCTGAAACGGTCCACACCGCATCATCCACATCACAGCTTCCAGGGTCTGTGTGGCCCACTGCCCTTTGGCAGGAACACACTAGCGCTGTGTCCGCCCCAGTGATGAAAACTCTTAGCTCTAGTCCATCACCTGGGTGAAGGGCAGGCAACTGCTGCTGCAGGTCCCAGGATTGTCCCAGCCCCCACTCACACCCCATAGGATGACGCCACCCATTGTGGGGCACAGTGATCTATCCATCTGCACACACGGGCACACCAGAGGGCTTCAAACGGTTTGGGGAAAATTCTCCTATTTTTCCATTCCAACCCCTTGCCCCCATCCCCTGCCCCCACCCCCTGCCCCCACCCCCTGGCCTCTGTTCTGGAGGCCTTTGGCATTTGCATAGGCTTGTTTCTAACATCTTGCCCCGACTGGTCTTTATTTCCTTCTGACCGTGCACCACCTCTTCCTGCTACTCTGCGTTTATGCATTCTCCTGGCTGTGTAGCCTGTCATTTCACAGCCCGTGAGGCAGATGTCACCGGTGTGTGCCCCCCAGAAGTGCTAGACTCGGTTCCGGCAGAGCTACGCCACATCTCGATCAGGCAGTGGTCTCCAAGCCTCATTGTGACCTCTCTTCCTGATGGACCCCACTGAACGCCCAGAGCAGTGAGGTGTGTGGGAGTCTGTAAAGAAAGCCCCTTTGTCCATCTCTACACACAGGACCCCAGGACCCCAGAATGTCACAGAAAGAAATGCAACGTCATGCAGTTGTGACAACCACCCTGGGCTCAGGCAGAATGACCGCATATCCCATTTCTGAACAATCACCCAGGGAGTATCATCGCATAGCAACCCAGAATACACACACCCAGACCACTGGGAGCGGAGTCCCCGTTACCTTTGTAAAATGAATGGGCAAAGGTCTGCTCGGGGATTAACTTGGCAAGGAATCCATGGCTCAGACTCGGGTGAGGGGCAGAGGGTATGACCACAACTGTGGAGAGAATCATGGAGTCAAAGTTCAGCCAGCATGTAACCCCCTGCAGTCTGCTTCCCACAGCCTGGGCACTGCCACAGTACTCCCACATGCAAGCTTTGCTCGCCAGACGAGGGCGCTGCCAGGCGGGGTAGGGGCTCTGTGTCAAGAGAGGAGAAGCCATGTTCTCAAGGAACCAGCCACAGCTGGAGGCTCACTGTATGGGGCTCTCTTTAGCTGCACCCACGCCCAGGGAAGGGGGAGTCCCAAAGTACTGCTACACCACCCCAGACACAGAGCCTGGGAGCATGAAGCTGCTCTTCCCTTTCCTGAGACCCTCCATCTAGGGGTGCACACTTCTGCAGCTGGTGCTTCCATCGCCTTCGCCCTTCCCTGGAGACGCCGTGCTCCCCAATTTCCCTCAGGTCAAACTGGCCCTTGGCATCCTCCAGGGATTCAAATCACAGTCCCTTTCCATGTGCTTCGAGGATCGGGAACAGAAATGAGGCTGGAGAGGCACAACGGGGACTGGTGGGTGGGTGGGGTCAGGTTCCCATAAAACTTTTCGTGGGACAGTCCTTTGCCACCCTTGAAGAATGAGCAAGTGTGCTGTCATGATGGGAAAAGCCCTTGACTCAACTTCCCGGCTTGTTCCTTACCAATAGCTTTCCGTTTTCTTTAAACGTCTTCCCCACCAGCACCCATGATCAGCCTGTGCCTCTCTAGACTGTGGACAGGACAACACCTTTGGACCCCCCCACGGAGGGGTCTCGGCTTTCTGAGATAACTCCTGCCTGTAGTCTAAGTGGCCTAGCAGACCCTTTGGAAGCTACTGCTTTGAGTGGACTTTGGGGGGGCCAGGGTACACCCTAATAAGACTAAGACAAGTGTGTTACTGAGAGAACTTGTCTACAGCCGTGTCCACAGATCAGATCCAAGAGACGTGTTTGGACAAGTTCTTCTTCAGAGCACACCAGGCCTGTATGAGCTGGGTCCCAGTAGCAATACTTTTGACTTGCCGTCTCGGCATGAGATGGCTGCATATCGAGGTGGACAAAGGGCTGCTAACATGATCGACAGACCTGCAAGTGGTTAGAAGTGTGACAGGACACGGACTGCAATGCCACGAAGAGGTCTCCGTGGAGAACGAAGGCTCAGAACAAAAGCAAGCTCGCTGTGGTGGCATGGTGTCTGGGTGCCTGGCATACGCTGCCTGCCCAGCATCCACACTAACTCGCGGGCTGCTGCGTCTCCGCACAAGAGCAATGCCACAGGAAGCAGGAAGCAGAGGGTTGGCGCCTTCAAAACCCATCTTGGTTAGGGATCACCCTCACTGATTTAAATCCCCACTGCCAACTCAGAGGGTGCCCCCCCCAGGCAGGACAGAGTAGAACTCCTTCTCCCACCTCCTCCGCCCCATTTCCAGGCCACCATCTTGGCAGGCGCAGTGGCCACTTTTGCTCTGTTGAATGACTGGCAGTTTCCACTGGCTGGCCTTTGGGTCAGTAGCCCAGCGCTTTAATCAAAGCATCACCAGGGCTCCTTCACATTTATACAGGAAAGAGCACTTAACTCTAAGTGAATCCAGTGGCCCCTGTGATAGCACTGCAAACAACAAAGAGCACCAGTGCTAAGCCGCCGAGTAGCTGATGGAAGGAGCAGGATGACATTTAAGTGATCCAACCAAGACAGTGCTAGCGGCCGCTTCAGACTTGGGGTGAGCCTGTAAGGCAGAACAGAACTGCCCCAGTGGCTTCAGCAACAGGGACCCTCCATGGGAGCAGGCGGAGTTGCCTTTCTCTGTGAGTGGCTCTGGGCTTAACTGGCCACCCTGAGGTTCACATTCAGATGCTTTTCCCACAGCACAGTGTGCTCACGGTGTCCCAGCAAAGACAATGGCTGAAAGCCTGGGACTTCCTGAGACAGAGGCCTTCTCAGCCGTCCAGAACCACCCACCACCCACCTGACCCAGGAGGACTCCCTCGGGTGCTGCCGGCCTGCGTTAAAGCAGCGAGGGCAGGAGGATGGACTGCCAGCTCGCTCATCATCAGTCTGATGGCGTGTGTGCTCACTGGCACGGCTGTCACGGCAAAATAAACAGCAAGTAAAGGAGAGGGGCTCCTATCTTTGAGAGGGAGCCTGGCTTAGTCCTGCTCTTGACCAACTCATGGACAGCTCTCCCTGTCGTGTGGACAGTGTTGAAAAGAATCCACATAGAAAGCTGGGGGTGCTGAGTCTATTATAATGGGAGAAAGTGGGTGATGATTTCTATCAGTAAGTGGGAAACAGTAAAACCAAGTGTGCTGACAGATGAGAATGAGACCCTGTCAGGAGAAGACTGGCACCTGCTAGACTTTCTCTTCCACGCTCACACGTGGCCTGGACTTCCGGTTCACACCTGCTGGTACATAGCACATGCAGTACACGCAGTGGCCTCGCAGGCCTGGCGCACCTGTGCTGGTTGGCGAGTTGACTTCCTGCCTGACGTCCCTGCTGGGCTGGCTCCCACTTCGGGCTGTCTCCCGCTGGGGCTCCAGGATGTCCCGGTACTTGGATACCATCAGGACCGAGATGAAGTACACCACAGCCAGGGCCAGGAACTGCGCCTGCTTGCTGTCGTCCTATGACAGAGGGACAGGCAGTGAGGGGCCACGTTTCACACACCCGGGGACGTCGCTGGACAAGCACCCAATAATTTTCCTCTCGACAAAACTCCCTGACCAGGGACTTCATTCAGTCTACCTTCTGTTTCTTCCAGGTGGCACCACCTAACTGCGCTACTGTCTAAGGTAACAAGTGCCCCATGCGGCCACAGTGACAGCGAGGTGGGGCATCTGTGTTCGCAGGTGTCTCGTGGTTCTTCGATGAAAACAGGTCAGAGCAGAGTGGCGAGGACACAGCCATTCTAGCAAGGGGGGCCAACAGCGCCAAGCCAGTCTGACCAAGTAACCTGCCGGAGCTGCAGGCCAAGCAGCCCTTTCCTGCGGCAGCTCTGGGGCCTCAGCCTCTCAGCAGCAACTTCCTCACAGACTTGACAGAATGGACATAGAGGGACATTTTAAAATGAACCAGAATGGCCACTAGCAGCTTAGTGGATGAGCCCCTGCCAACTGTCCTGCGGGGTCATAAGGAGTAAGGTCACAGAACTGGGAAATGACCAAGTAACAGAAAACTGACCCCACTGTCACCCAGGCGATGCCAGCTCATAGTCACCCGACAGGATATGACAGAACTGCCCCTGTGGGTTTCTGCGGCCAGGAAATCTTTAATGGAGTGTACAGCCTCCTCTCTCTCCCAAGAAGCTGCAGCTGGCATTGAACTGGTGACCTTGTGGTGAGCAGCCCAAAGCGTAAGCCACCAGGGAGCTGAGCAAGAGACATCGCGCGAGGAGAGAAGGTGACCGAAGATGAAGTCAGTGATAGTTTTTCAGGTTTTCCCTGGCAATCACATCAACGTGTAACATTCTCTCTCTTTTAAGAACACAAACGTTCACAGGAAGACTCTTTCTCCAGTGTACTTTTTCACCTATTTTGTGGTGTTTCTGTTTTTCATCTTTTGGAGGAAGGTTTGTTCTATATCTGGCAATAATAAACTTCCTTAATGAGGACCAAAACCAGTAACCAAAATGGAAAGAGAAGTGAGACTGACGAATATGAGATCCGGAAGGAAGGCTCTAACCCGATTGTGGCTGTGTGGCTGGGACCAGGTAGGCAGGGTCCCTACGAGTCACACCCAATGTGACGGAGCCTCACAGGACCATAACAAGGGGGGACAGCCCAGCTCTGACCCAGAGTGAGTGCAGTCTTTGCGAGGAGCCTGCGGCGCAGCCAGGTGGAGCGCGTTCCTAATGCTGGGCATGGTGTGCTTCCTTGCACACGAGGCATCACTCACCACGTCCCGGAAGACGACAGCACGAAGCCGGTTGATGTCCACGTCCTGCAGCAGCCTGTCAGGGTCTTTGATAGGAGAGAGGTTGCCGGGCACACCTTCCAGGGGAGTCTTCAAGAGAGAGTTGTGGGGGAAAATTTCTGACAGTAAAACATTTCTAGAACGTTCCATTTGCTGCCTCCACCTCCAGGTTCCATGGAGCAGGGGCAGCCCTTCCCTCTCCCTCCGTCATCAGAGTGGACAGGAATAACCCTCGATGGGCCCTGTTCTTTCTCATTCTGACCCCGCTCCTGGGCCCCAGCTTCCAGCACTAGCCTGCTTATTGCCCTCCAGCATTGAGCCTGTTTGACTCACAGCCAGCGCGACAACCCCGCACATATCTGCCCTCGAGTCTTTGCCGAGGGAAAGCCTTGGGCTGCTCCCCGCAGCCCTGGGGCTACTTTGCCCACCTAGCAGAACAGGGAATCACCACGGTCTCTGAGGAGATAAGCTATTCCCAATGGAATATAATGACCACAGAGGTCCTTTCATAACTGAAGAAACAAACCCCACACATCTGAGGCTCCACACAAGACCCGGCCAAGCTGAGCGAGGGCCAGTTCATTGATGTGTGGCCCAGTGCTTTCACAGGCTGGCCATGTCCAGAGGGGCAGATAAGACCAGAGACCATTGGTCAGGTGAAGACACAGTCCATCCCAGAGTCGAAGGTAGCAGGTGTTACCTCGCGAATATCAAAAACAAGGACAACTACTCCTGAAGACCTGGGTCACCCTGCCCCCTGCCCATCTACACTGAGAGCCCCGACTCCTGGGGGCACCTGGCCTGACACACTGCCCACACTTGTCCACACTAAGAACCCCGACTCCTGGGGGCACCTGGCCTGACACTGCCCACAC